CAACGGCCCCCCCCCCTCGCCCGTGCACCGGGGGCTCATCCCCATGGCTCCCAGCTCGCCCAAAGCGAAGAAGAAGCTGCTCCGGAGGCACTCCATGCTGGTCAACTTCCAGAACCTGCTGGCCCAGGGCGACCCGGCCACTTAAAGGGACAGAAGCCCCAACAAGGGAAAGGAGAAGACGAGGCCTCGATTTATTCTAGCCCCATCCCATTCACTGCCGCTGGAGCGGGAGATGGAGCTGGAGACTCCCCCATCCCATCTCTCCCGCCCCACGTGGGGTGGCGAGCCCATCGTGTCTGGGTTGTGTGTATCCCCCGCCCTGCTGTGCACTAGTGGTTTTATCCTAGCGATGGGCCGGGCCCCGGGGCCAGGGCATCGGCCCGGAACAGGAGCGCTCCGGCGCTGGGCCAGGCCCCGCCGTGGTGGAGGCACCGAGGCCGCAGTGGGCAGTGGAAATCCCCGCCCCCAAGTGGAATCACCCGTGACTGTGCCACGTGGCCACAGGGCACCCGGAGTCCTACGGGAAACGTGGCCTCCGTTGGGGGTGGGACGACAACGGCGTCTACCGGCTGCTCCCTCCTCCGTCTGGCATCCAGGAGGGACACGCGTGGGCCCCTGCCCCTTGGAGATGCCAAGGCCGGGGAAGAGAAAGCGAATGAAAGTGCGATTTGGGGGCAAGCGCAGGAGCGTGGCCGTCGGAAGTTTCTTCCAGTTTACGGCAGAGGTTTGTGCCTGGTCCAGGTCCCCCCACACGTGCTGCTCCCTGCAATATGGTATTTATTCGTGTGAACGCCAGCTGGACACCTGGGTTCGCTCCCCGCCTCCGGGGCTGGGCAGCAGGGTCTGATGAGCGCAATTAAGGGAGACCAAGGGCAGCGTCTTCATAAAGGCCTAGTGATTTGTGACGCCCAAACTGTTCTTCGGACTCTGACGAGCACTCGCCCACTGGAAGTCAAACCCCTTGGAGGCCTCTCAGGTGGGAGCGCGGAGCTATTTTCGGCACGGGGCTCTCGTCCCAGCTTCGGGAGAGAGAGTGTTGTCTAATGGTCTGGGCATGAAGGACTCTCGGGTTTCTGCCTGTCTCTGCCACTGATGCGCTGGGTGATGCCAGACCAGTGATGCTTCCGCTCTGTGCCTCAGTTTCCCCATCCTGTCAAATGGGGGGTAATGATACCGACCTGTGTCTGTAAAGCGCTTTGAGATCCCGGGACCCGAGGCGCTATAGAAAGGCTACGTCCTCTTCGTTATTTATTTAGCATTCGGTCTGTGGCAGAGCCACGCCCGTAGACCAAGCAATATGACCGGGAACGCACAAGAAGTTATCCCCAACGTCTGGTGAGAGGGCTGGGATAAACCATCTAGGCCCAGGGGGAGGAACTGAGCAAAGCATCACCAAGCAGAAGAGAAACCGTTTCTGGGCCCGTCCGAACCTCGCTCTGTAATGTTAGCCCCGCCCCCCAGCGCAGACATGAGTTACCCTGATTTTCCACCAGGGGCGCTGTGCGGCGTGGGCCTGCGGCACAGCCGTACCTTGTCAGGGCAAGAGATTTGCACCGGCTCAGCGGCAGCGGTGCAAACAAACCCCATTGCAGACAAGGCCTTAAGCCCGTTTGTCAAAGGTATTTAGGTGCCTCACTCCCAGCAGGAAGATCTGGCCCCTAGATACCAAGTGATGCTGCTGCACCATGCTCAGGTTTCCTTGCACATTACTGAGCAATGCTGCGAAGTCCGAGTTAACTAAAGGAGTTCACGTTTGCACAGGTCTCCCGATAAGCACAAGGAGACTGAAATCAAGGCCCTCTACTCTGCAGACCTCCCCTCCATCCCCCACTCAGCTCCCTCTTCTGTTCGCAGAAATACGCTTCTAGTCCTAGTGGGGTGTGTATCTTATCCAGTGTGGCCTGAGCCAGTCTTTAGACAGCCTACAATGCTCATGCGAAGAGATGTGAACATATCCCAGTTGTGTGTTGACTCTGAACCCTACTGAAGGCCAAATAGACAACAACATTGTTAGCTAGTTCACTGCTGATTTTAGCGGAACTGTTGCACTGCAATTAGCATCTCACAATTCCCAATTATATCCCCAGGTACCGAAAGCCCCAAACTGCTCCTAGTTCAACTGGTACCATGCTTCCACTCCCACCTCCTTCCCCAATTGCTCTCAGTAAGCACTTAACCCTTTTTTGTTACAAAATTCTGCAGCGCACTGAAAAGGAAGGGCCAAATTCGTGGTTTGTGTTAATCGGTGTCTCACTTTGACTGTGACATCGCCTGAGAATTTGAGCTTAAAATTATAGGGGCAGCATCTGATTAAATTAGCCAGCGGAATAGCTAGCCTACTGTATCTCATGCTTGCCTGCATTAGCCACTGCCATGCTTAGTTTAATAGAAACCTTATTAATTCCGTGTGTCTGATGCTGTTCTGGGATTTCTAGTTTCCTGCAGAATCCAGGGCCTTTTGCTGCAGGGTATGGGGCTAGTTTGCTGCAGATACATGAGGCCTTCATACAGCTTGTGAGTACGGTTTCAGATCTGTATCTCTAGAGCCCTACATGGATACAAACCTTAACAAGCAAGGATCAGGAGACACGCCCACCCCGCCCCGCCCCTTTTTCTGTGCCTAGGGTAGCACAAGCACAATGCTGCCCCCTGTTGGCCAAATGCACAAACTGCAGGGGGGAGGTTTCTTACTGCAGGCTTCTTTCGAAAGAAGCTTTTTTCGGAAGAGATCTTTTTTCTGAAAGGCTGTGTCCAGACTCAGGGGTTTTTTCGGGAAAAGTAGCCTTTTTCCGAAAAAACTTCCCCTGCGTCCAGACTCAAGCCGCGTTCTTTCGAAATTAAATCGAAAGAACGCGGCTTTTCTTTCGATGGCGGTAAACCTCATTTCACGAGGAAGAACACCTTCTTTCGAAAGTTCCTCTTTCGAAAGAAGGCGTTCTTCAATGTAAATAGGGCTTCTTCGAAAGAGAGCATCCAGACTCACTGGATGCTTTCTTTCGAAAAAGCAAGCCGCTTTTTCGAAAGTTCAATGTGCAGTCTAGACGCTCTCTTTCGAAAGAGGCTCTTTCGAAAGTATCTTTCGAAAGAGGCTCTTTCGAAAGAGGCTTGCAGTCTAGACATAGCCAAAGAGAGCATCCACAATGCCAAAGTGCATCAAAAAAGCGATCTGATTTTTCAAAAGAGAGCGTCCAGACTGAATGGATGCTCTCTTACGTGTAAGCTAGGATTTCTATGGGTGGAATGGCCACCAGGGCACCTGTGCGTTGTCCTCTTTCCTCTTCTTCCAAAAGAAATCCCTCTTCGCTGTCCACGCACTTTTTTTGTGAAAGAGCTCTTTTGGAAAAAGGCTTCTTCCTCGTAGAATGAGGATTACCAATGCCGGGAAAACCCTGCCGTTCTTTTGATTTTCTTGCAGAAGAACGCAATTGCAGTGTGGGCGTAACTCAAGTTTTGTCGGAAAAACGGCTGCTTTTCCGACAAAATTGTAGTGTAGACATACCCTCGGAGTTCTCTTACAGCTTACCTACTACATTCTAATCCACATCCATATCCACAAAAATGAGCTGTGGATACCCACATCTACATCCCAGATGCAGATACCCACATCTACATCCCAGATGCAGATACGGATGGATATAAAGTGGCTAGCCATAGACTTGCAGGGATTAATGTATCTGGGACAATGGTGGGGGTTGAATGTGGGGTTTTCAGTCAGCTGGTTAGAAGGCTACAGTTCAGCTGTGGAATTTGGAACCAAATTCACATCGCAGTGTCAAAGGCCATGAAAACTGGATGGAGCCCATCTGTCTGCAGCATAGATGTGGGTATAAAGCACTGATGAGTGTCCATGCAAAGTATGTCCCTGCTACAATGCCACTTAAGGAGTGGACCTGGGTGGGACTTTTTCCACAATACAGTTTTTCCATAGGAAAGGACTGATCCGTCCAAACCACTATGTCCCACAGGAATATGTCAGTTTCATCAACGTTTTCATTGAAAACCATGGAAACGACGTCCCATTTCGGCCGCCTCGGAACGAAACGTTCCCAGTGTTCCGCTCCGACGGACGTTTCCTTTGGCAGCCGAGCTTAGTGTCCCGCTTTTAACTTTTCAGAGGTCAGCGCGGAAATGGAATGTTTCCAATGTACCAACATAGAAATAACAACAAGGAGTCCTGTGGCACCTTATAGACTAACCGATTTATTGGAGCATAAGCTTTCGTGGGCAAAGACCCACTTTGTCAGATGCATGTAGTGGAAATTCCAGAGGCAGGTATAAATATACAAGCATAAGAAAGGAGTTCCAATCAAGAGTAAGGCTAGAGATAAGGAGGTCCATTCATTATACCTGCCTCCGGAATTTCCACTACATGCATCTGACGAAGTGGGTCTTTGCCCACGAAAGCTTATGCCCCAATACATCTGTTAGTCTAGAAGAGGCCACAGGACTTCTCAATGTTCTTGCAGCTTCAGACTAACACGGCTACCCCTCTGATACTCAACACAGAAATATCCACCAAAAAGATTTGGGCCGGGGGAGCTTTTGGGTTTGCAACAAAACAAGGCTGAGATTTCGGGATTCCATTTGGGAGAAGAAAAATGTTGACATTGCAAAAGGATGGGAAATCCCAGAACCCACCAGATGCCATCTTTAGCCCATGTGGTAGCCGTGCCTGCGTTGAGCACTGGAAGTCATGGTTCTCAATCCCTCATATCTGCCAAATGGCAGCTGTCACATGTCACGCAGACATGCCCTGGACAGAGCCACTGAGGAATTTGTAACCAAACCCAGCTGATGAACCCTTTAACAAGCAAGGATCCTGAAAGGAGCCGGCCCCGCCCCTTTTTCTGTGCCTAGGGCACACGCACAATGCTGCCCCCTGCTGGCCAAATGCACAAACTGTGGGGTGGTGGTTTCCTACCTAGAAGTTGTCTTACAACTTACCTACTAAGTTCCAGTTCAGTCATACTCCAGCCTCAGGAGCCAAATTAGGGACCAGCATTCCCGAGGAGAGCCACAGTAGTGTGAATTCATTGCTCCATTCACTATAGGGACATGACATATATCTATGATGCACACAGCCAAACGACTGGCCAAGTAGTAATATTTTATCAGCTACAATTGGTTAATAACATAGTAAAAGCATCCTGATTGGTTCACTCCGAAGCCGCAGGAGACATATTAAAGAGCCAGTTGAAGCTCGCAGGCATCTGTCTGAGTATCACTGACCTATGGGGACAAAAAATTTTCACACAAGGAACTGATTTCTCTATGTATGTCTGTGTATGTGTGTGTGTGAGAAAGTGAGAGCGCAAGAGTCACTTCTACACTCCCCTCCTCCCCCAAGGGATAGTAAAGGCAGCAGCAGGCAGTGTTCTCTCTAATTTTTCCCCATCCCTGTGCAGAATAAATTTTGTTATGTGCACCAAAGGCTGTGTGGATGTGCACCACCAGGAGAAATACCTGGTGCCACCTACAGGCACTTTGCTAATCAGCTGGGCAGCATTTGAATCTCTGGGTGGCTGCCCAAGCGCTCATCTTACAGGGAACATGGGCCGTAGGGAATGTTTTGTTTTAAGTCAGTTGTGGATAGCAACGCATAGATGGGTCAGAACTGGATCCATTTCTCAGCTCATTCCCCAGATTGTAGAGCTGTGGCTGAAACCCACATGGCCTGTCCCTTTGGGTTTTGCTAAATCAGTACCCAACGGAGGAGGGGTGGTTGGACTGAAACAATTTCCGGGGGTGTTTGTATGGCTTTATTTAGTAGCCAGTGAGGAATATTCCTAAGTATTGGGTGGCATGGGTGGTTTCCAATCAGAAACAAGGCAGTGCCTGGCTCATCAGCGCACGACACCAATCGGAAACAAGGCAGTGCCTGGCTCATCAGCAGGATCAAATGATTTTCCATAACATCTCACCAGAACTCAAAGCTATTTGCAATAGAGAGAGGCCTGACATGCTGCCAGTTCTGGGGAGGAGCATGGCAACAGCGCTGCACAGCCAAGCAAAGAGGAAGACTGACCAATAGAGGGAACACAGGTGAAAAACTTGGGCATGCTCCGGCGTGCACGTTCACACTCTCGGCCGCTCCCTCACACCTCAAGCCCAGGAACCGTTTTTGGGTCAAGGGCCGCCCACAAGTGATGAGCAAAGTGAGACGCCCTTGACGGAGAAGGAAAAAAGGACTCCTCGCATTCCTCTCACACACCTGCACCTGGGGGGGACCAGGCTAGTAGATTTTTGTGTGCTCCAGCCCCGTGGGTGGGTGGGTGGCAGAGGGCTGGAGCACCAGGCAAGCCCCATCTGCCCCCTGGGCCGGAGGCTCCCCACCCCTGCCATAGGCGAAGCATCCAAGAAGTCCTGCCTCTTAGAAACGGAGCTGGGCGTATTGCTTTGCACACAGCTCTGCAGCTGAGATGGACCGTGTGCTAGATTAGCACAAAGCCGATCGCTGGACAATATTGCCAAAGGGCCAGAGCCAGGCGGAGGACTCACACGCTTCCCTGTGCACGTTCAGGCCTGTCACAGGACCGGCTCCGTCCCCTGGCAAAGAAATCGGCTCCCTCTGACTCCTTTGAGTCCCTCCCTGCTTCACAGGTAATGCACACTCCTGGGTCTGCCTCTCCCATCTGTTGGGGGAGCGCTGGCTAATGGTTAGAGCAGTGGACCTCGGTGTCAGGACCCCCAAGCTGTCATCTCAATGCTGCAAGGGGAATGTTAGCTAGTGGTTAGAGCAGGGAACTGGGCATCAAGATGCCTGGCTCTGCCACTGTCTCGCCTCTGAAGAGCCGCAGGCCTGCTCCATGCCTCAGTTCCCCCCCCCCCGCCCCAGCTCTAGGAGTGAGACGCTAATGTTTGACCACTTACTAGCTGTGCTCTAGAAGACAAGGCCCTCCCCAATGTTGCGAGCACGGCTCCTTCCAGTGACTGGTGCATCCAAGTCAGTGTCCCTGCCTCCAGCAGCAGCCGCTGTCCAGTGTCCGAGGCAGGCTGAAAGTGCACATGGCCTGTGGTACACAGCTGTCCAGCTGGGGAGAAGAAGCAAACCCTGCCTCACCCAGGCAAGCATCCCATTTGGGCCCTGAACCATGCGGGTTCCCTAAGCGCGTATCTCCCCTGGCATAGCTAGCCTGCGGACGTTGCCTCCAAACATCTGCCTTTGGGGAGAGCGCAGTGTGTGCGTCTCCTCTGCCACACACCGCAGCAACCCAGGCGGGGGAGAGGGGGACTGAACGGTGCGGTGCCCCAGAAAACAAACTCTCCAGCCCCATGGATCCAGCCCTCCGCTCCTGGCAGGAGACCTGCAGTACAAGATACAGATGGAGCAGGGCCTCTCATGCCTCATCTGTGCCTGCAAGGCAGCTCCTTAATGCACAACTCCTCTGGCATGCTGCTTTCACTCCCCCGCCTCCTCCCTCCCCCGACTGCTGAGCCAGCATCTTTGTCCCACTTCCCGGGGGGGTGGAGGGGGGAGTGATTCTTGGGCAGTGTGGCTGTGCCACTGTTAACAGCTGCAGCATTCCACCCCAGAGGTGGCTGCATGTCAGCACTGGGGGGTGTGATCCCTGGGCAGTGCGGCTGGGCCACTGTTAAACAGCTGCAGCATTCCACCCCAGAGGTGGCTGCATTTCAGTGTCCACCAAGCCCTTTGGAATGGATAGTGCTGCCCAAATGTCAGTATTGAGTGGTATTGGTCACCTGGGGCTCCTACAGAAAGCCCTGACTGTCTCTTTGCATGATCAGGAAATGATTTGGATGGGAACGGGGAGGAAAACCCACCCACGTATAACGGCTGAAATCTTTCTCCACCCCTCCCCTCCCTGCATGTCCAATAAGGCCTGATCTACGGCCTCCAGCTTCAGCCGCACCATTCCGCCCTCTTTGACTCACGATGCCGTCTGGAGGCTCTGACTGAGGTTGCTGATCCCAAACACCATGTCTGGTTTCAATGCAAGCCTATTGTTTGCATCAGTGGTCCCTAGCTGTGCGGCCACGCAGGGGAGAGTCAAATGCCGCCCAGCTGATTAGCAGAGCACCCACAACTTGTGCAGTGGTGCACATTCTCATGCGCTTTGGTGCACACCAAAATATTCCGCACATCGATGGAAAAGAGTAGAGGGAACCTTGGTTTGCAGCTCCAATTTTGTTCTGCCATGGTGCCCCCCCTCACCTTGTGTGTAACCCCCAGCCATGGCCACAAGGAGCGCTGCACAGACTGCAGCTGGGCAGCAGCAGAAAGGACTTTACTTGCTAACGAGTTTCCCAAAGTCTTGGGGCATCGATGGGCTCAGAGCTTTCCCATAGGTCATGAAGTTTGCTGCTAGTGGGCTGGCTCTGGCTTGCTCTAAGCTGGCCATGGCAAGGGGAGAGGGGATCCATTTATGGGCATATTGACATTTCTGCTCCTCCATACAGCTTAACAGCCACACACACACCCCCCTCCCCAACTCGCGGTGTTGGCTCTGGCCTGTAGCCCAGTGTGGACGCCGCTGGGGGAGGGGATTTAAACCCTCACTATGAACAGCTGGGCTCCAGCCCGGGACAGGATGCAAGGTGGGGAGCGGTTCCATACAAATGACCTGACCCAGAATTAATTGGTTCGGGGCAGAGACTGACACAGAGGACAGAGATAGGTGCTTCCCTGCGTCTGGGGGCTGCTTGCCCAGGGAGACCGGCTGCCAGGCTGGCCCTGGCTTATCAGGGGGCTGTTTCCATAATGAACAGGGGAGGGCCTGGGGGTCACTACATCGAAGTCAACACTTTGCTGTGCTGTAGGAAGGAGAGTACATGTCACCCCCATTTTGCACAGTTGAAGCCTTGAGTCCCGGCGCTCCTAGAAGGGAGAAGCCCTGAACACCCTCACCCCGCCCCCAAGCCCTGACTGCCCCCCACCTGCACCCACAGCCCCTAGTCAGCTGTTGGGGGGCAGCACTGAAGACGCTGTGTCCAGGGGCTCAGAAGATGCAAATCTGGCCCTGCTGCCAGCTGTGGGTTCCAGCATTTCCAGGGGACAGATGCTCTGGCCCAGACTGCTATTGCCTTGCGGCCCCCAACAGGCTCCCTGCCTGCCCCAGCTCTGCCAATGCCCCTTCCTCCCAGCCCA